CTTGCAGTGTAAACTGCGATTGCTGGAGATGATGATGTCGAAGGGGCAGTTGAACGCTCACCTCGGCCCCGATATCGATCAAGAAACGGAACCCGGTGGACTTGTCGGACACATAAAACAAGCAACTGGGTCGCGAGTGACCAGCAGTCGTCGCCATTACTGGCTGGCGGCGCCATTTCCCGAATGGGAACGTCTATTGTAGGTGCAAGGCGGGACGCATTTCATAGCATCCGGGCTGAACTAACGGTGGTACCAGCAGACTTTGTCATCTACACGCTCCTTTGAATTAGAGCGATTGTGGTTAGCAGGGGCACGACCGGTTTGTAGCCGTTTGAGTGTGGAATACCTTGTGCTCATTTGAGAGCACATTAATCTGACAGTATCTTTAAGATCCTGTAGGTCATCATCTCTGGTGTCTGCAACAGCGTGAATGGGCTGGGTGGGCGAACTAGACAGCGGAGACGACATTCCACGCGATTTAGCCGTCTGTCGTGGAGTACGGCGATCAGGTTTACGATCAGGTCCTGATGTGGAAACCTGAGAAACGGCGTGGTTAGCCAGTCAGGTCGATGCTTGATGTACGGAGTATGAACTAGCACCGGGATAACATTGCTGGATGCCATCAGCATGTTCCGCGAGTTTGTCAAGCGGAACAGTGTCGTCTAGCAGCGCAATGATTTGTTGCATTGGATGGGGCAGTTTAAACATCCAAATTCGGCGGAAAATAGAGTCGTCTAAAATGCAACCAGCAAGCAAATGATGCATGTGACGCATCAGGGCAGACGGCGTTTGATCACCGAGCTCCACATTGTTGAGGAGCTAGTTGAGCTTGCTGTCGGCAGATTGTGCCGTGCGTTTGAGGGTAGTCTTTTTCAAGCCAGAATAAGGCTGATCCCTAGGAATAGGATGAAGAAGACCCTGAACTGCATAGGCGACGTCGAAGGGTAAGTACTGAAGGACGAACGAGTAACGCGTACGCTCAGTAGTAATACGACCTGTGGCGAAAACGGCCTCAATCTGTTTAAGCCAAACTGTAGGGTCACGAACCTCGTACGGGGGCAGCTTAATAGAAATCTGAAAAGCATGAGGTTCATCCCGATCGACTGACGCGTAGGACCTGGTAGAAACAGAATCGGCATCGTAAAAGGGTTGGTCTTCTTCTGCCATGTCAAAAACCGTGTGAACGGCAAAATCGAACGTAAGAAACAAGTGAATAGAATAAAAAGCAAAACGTGTATAACAGTAAAAACGGGGTCACCAAATTAATAGCGGAAAAGTCTACAAGCATATGTAAAACGTCTTAGCAAAGATGCAACGGAAAACTTTTTAGTGCAGAACTAACTGCTAGCCACTAATCTACCACACTTTACTAGTGGAAATGGTAGAAAAACCGTAAACAAAAATGACAATGAAAATAAGGAACGATACGACTCACTTGGATCTTCAACGCTCCTTGTCAGCAGTAGCCAAGAACTTGACTTGCCAAAGGAGGGATTTGTAGATGTTGGGATCTCTATTCGTCGATCTGAAACATAGAGAGCCGAGAGGAATCTCGCCTGCAAGTCGCCGTTAGATGTTCCTGGGCCCGGGAATGATCACCAGAGAATGGTGTCGTTGAAGGGCGAAGAAAACAGCGGCCGGTGAGACTGGAATGTCGGAGAGGTGTGCTAGTATAAGCAGGAAGTGCTTAGCAGACTACATGTGACGTGCTAATCGAAAAGTGTATTTCACGCGCCTTGCGTTGAAACAAAAAATTGAGTTAATTTAAACAAACGTACAGGTCAGGTGAAGGGCATGCAATGACAATGCATTGCGGAGAGGATCTCCTAAATTGCCAAAGTCCTTTCCCGATGTTATGGAGAAAACTGCTAGGAAAAGATGAGGAAAGAAAAAGGCTCATTGACTCAATCTTAAGATAAGTACACTGTCTTTGCTTGGAAGCAAATATACCGTTTGAGCCCCTAATAGTGAATGAGAGGTAATTCTAAAGAAAACCATACCTGGAAGCAAAGAGCATCAGAATAACATATAAAAAGTGGCTTTTAATCGCTGAATGTATACGTCATTTGCTTGTGTTTGTCAATGAAATTGTACAATAGTATTGTTTTTTACTTTCGGGAGAAGGAATACTCAGTGACCTAGCCCACTTTGGACAGCTTCTTATAGAATATTGTTTAAGTCTATCAGTGCTTTTCCTCGCGGTCGCTTCCGCGTTCTGTTGTTTCCGATCTCGCTATTGGCAATGGTAAAGATATTTGTAGGGAATCTGAATCCGAGTTCAAAAGCGCTCGACCTGAGGAAGCGCTTTGAGCTTTACGGGAAAGTGACAGAATGCGACATAGTAAACAATTATGCTTTTGTGGTACGTTGTCGTACGCTGTGCATTTAAAATATAGCATATGGATAGTGAGGCAGACGCCGAGGCCGCAATTGCTAAGTTACACAACTCCGAGTTCGATGGCGCTAAAATAAACGTGGAACTGAGCCATGGTAAACGTTCATCTGGTGGTGGGGTGATGCGTCGCCGCTTCTATGATCGACGGTACCGGGACGATTACCGCGAAGATAGATTCCGCGGCCCTCCTAGACCGTACCCGGGTGGACCTGTTGATCCTGGTCGTGACCGTTACGGCTCTTCGTCCTGGGATGACGGTTATCATCGTCCCTATTCGCAACCCAACGGCCCACGAGGTGAGGCATATTTATTACTAAGTTTTC